GATCGAATCAATGCCCAGAATCAGCGTGAGCTCCTTCTCCACGATCACAAGTTTCAGTTGATGTGAGGTTCCATCTCTTGGGTTAGTGACTTCGATTGTAGCTGAGCCCTTCGGTTGAAGTTGTGAACCATTCCTCATAGGCAGATAATCTTGATCGGATCGAATGCACACTCTGGGACAGTGCTTCCTTGGTAGAATGTTGACAGTAGCACCTGTGTCTAGTTGGAATCGTACGGATTTGCCTTCGATCAAAAGACTTGCGTAGACACATTTTTGCGCTACCCTCCGAGACATGTTGCCAATTGAATGTTCTGCATCTGCGGGACTTGTCATGAACGACCGCACTCACATTCATTGATTGGCGGCAACGAGCAAAGTGGTACCTTCTTCCACATTTGGCGCATTTCCGTGCCTACATTCGACATTGTTCGCGATTGCTCGATGTCGCTTGGCGCAAAATTTGCAGACCTCCTTTCTCACGGTACTAGCCTTCGCTTCCGGAAACGGCACAAATCTGCACTTGTTGCGCGCTTCATTTGTTGGTATTGATGGGTGCTTGAGGATTAAATGTTGCAGATATTTGCACTGCTGGAGCGATAAGTTGCGTTGTCGCGAAAGCCGCTTTGTCCTACCTCCATCATTGCTTCCTAGAACCATCAAGTCGCGTATTAGACTGTGGCCCAAACATTTACAGAAATTACAAGATCGGGCCAAAATCTTCAATTCATGATGTACGCGTCGACTGTTTGGTTGGGGCCTCTGTTGCGCGAAAAGAGAGCATAGCGCTGGTAGGTCTCCTTATTTTGCCCTTGTCCCGACAGACTAGAGCCGCCCCGTCCTTGTCCACATTTTCAAGGGAGGCCCATTTCGGAATGCGGCAATCATGGAGGGATCAGTCTGATCACAATTGCCTCTAAACTGCTTGCGTCTGGTGTTCACTACAGACTGCCTGGCACTAGTGAAAGCCAGATTCGTGAAGAGCCAGCCGGGTTTCGTCGAAGTCGGGCCTGCATAGACCACATCTTCACTTTGAGTCAATTGTTGGAGCACCGCCTTGTTTATTGGCGACACACTGTTGTCATGTTTCTTGACATAAAAGGTGACTTCGATTCAGTCGAGCGACGTGCCTTTTGGGACTGTCTGCTGAGGATAGGTGTGCCTGGTAAATATGCAAACATTAACAAAGAGCTGTACGCGCATAGTTCGGGAAGAAAGGATTTGTGGCAAACCGTCGCCGCCCTTCAGTATCACCAGCAGTTTGATACAAGAGTGCCCGCCGTCACCTTTCCTATTTAACTTCGAAGTTGACGAAGTCATGGAAACAGCATGCGCTGAACACAACCTAGAAGGTCTGAAGCTCCTTCCTGATGAGCGACCTTTCAACTTGGAGTATGCGAACGATGTTGCCCAAACAAGCCAAGCTGCACTGGACAGATTATCAATGTCTGTCAACGTTTTGAGCTAGGCTTTGCTCCACCGAAACGCAAAGTAATTATCCAAGATTGGCAGGGGCCCACCCCCGCGCTAAGGCTTGGTAGTGATCAGCTAGAAATCCTTCGGGAATTCAAGTACCTGGGCAGCTACATTAGCGCACATGGGGTCGAAGATGAGGTTGCGAACCGTATAGCAAAAGCACGAGGTGCTTTGGCCATTTTCCGCCATCTGTAGCGCAGACGCGACATCTCTCTCCCCCTGAAGGGCAGAGTTCATTATTCAGCCGTCAGTTCAACACTCGTACACAGTTGTGAAACCTGGCCCGTCAAGTCAACAGACGTAAAGAGGCACGCCACGTTGGATCATCGCTGTCTTCGAAGCTTAGCTACTGTCTGGTGGGAGCACCGCGTGAGCAATGAGCTTGTTCGGTGTCGCTTATTTGGTGCAGTAAGAGCGAGTGAACTGCTCAACACCGTTATCTCACACGCCAGACTCTGATGGATGGGCTACGTATTGCGCATGCCAGCCCACCGACTCCCGCGACGTGTATTGTTTGCGCGCCAGGGGTGCGGTTGGAAAAGTAGGAGGAGGGGAGACCAAGCAATGGCCGGAAGGAATGAAAACCCTCACTTCGAAGCTGGCGTCGGTTGGGGCATCCGAATGCCTAGCTGCGGTCCTTAGGATTTTGAACACGTTTAATGGGGCACGCTTGCGGACATGGTGAAGAGTCAGCCCCAATGGCGTTTGTGTTGTGCGTGTATTTGTGCGCCCCTCACTTTAGGTTCCCCTTCCAATACCGATCCTATGTAAAACACATTATGTAGTATTTAACATCATATATCTTTGTTGCGTAATAGGTAGTGTCCTTTTTAGTCCCATATTTTTCTGCATTGTGTCACAGTAGCTGAAGTCTGTTTATCACGCTCAGATAATGTACACTAATATATATATATATATATATATATATATATATATATATATATATACTTACATATGGTTGGGGGCATCCGGTTTCGGATTTGCTTGTCACTGTGACCAGCCACAGGATGCCTGCGCCTACAGAGGGACCATGGGTGGCTTGCGCTGCACCACCCACAGTTCAAACCACACACCCCATATCCAGTGTAAACCCGAAGGAATAAGACCGGGAGATATGCGCATGAGGGCCACGTTTCATTAACGGAGCCGACCCACACTCCTTCAGAGACAAACACAAGCACGCTGTATTTGGGAATCAAGCGCACACAAGGCGGTGGCTGGGCCGTAGTCCGTTCCCCACTGAGTGCATGGAACCACTCTTTGATCCCAACACGGCCACAAGGACCGTGCACCCAGTCCCCTCCAGCAATGACAAACTGTCCCCTGGAGCCAGTATGAAACCTATGATTGTGCGCAAGTGATCGTACGAATCGAGGGCAACAAGCGATCCTTGACTACAGCATATAAAGGACTATTCGGTGGCTTGCAACGGAAGGACAAAACAGTCGTCATCGATTGTAACGGAAAACTTGAATCAGTCACTTAAAAATGCATTGTACTGACCAAGACCTCCCGTCCTAGCAGTTCAGTGATGCTCGCTGAGATTCCTATTGAGTCGTCCAGTGCACACAGGACTAAGTCAGGTCGCATCGATTTGCCCAGACCCTGCATTTTCTACCTAAGCCTCTATTATCATTGTTAATAATACTCCGAAATAGTAAGATGTTTTGAAATCATAAAAAGGGTAAAACTTTTTGAAAACTTAAATATATCGTGAAATTAATTTTTTGTATCACCCAATTAGTGTCCTACACTTTGTCACTACAGTTTTTCCTTTACTTTTTATGCACTCCTTACCACAACAATAGAGCGCTCAGTTTGGTGCTCAACATCTCTGTTCCACTGTCATTAGCTCTCAGACTGCTACCCATTCGCAGCAAGCATTTTCATATATATTGTGACTTCGACACCTCGTGCGGAAAAGGGCAGGAAACAGCTAAGAACCGTTCTCGTTGGTGCTCCAACGGTAGGTACATCGTGTGCCGCTCACTCTAAACTTAACAGTCGGTGCGAAGAGTTGGTCTCGCAGAATACTGGGTGGCAGTGTATAGCGCTCACGTATGTGGAAAAAAATACTTACACAGTCGTTTCTGGGGAGGGATGTGTTGAGCCGTCTGGAGGGTCTCCCGTTTATCTGAGGAAGTTGTGCAAAACAGTAACTAAAATATCATCTTGTTGTACAATTAAGTCTTCGACGCACAGCATTGAACGGCCCGTTGAAATTGCTTGTCTGGCCCGTGAGCATCACACCCACCGAGCCATGACTAGTTTCAACACCTATCCTACCCTGGATGCTACGCACTGTGATGATGACATAATGAAATCTCTTTACCTATCGGGAACGGTACTTGTCGGCAGCCTGACGGATACCACAAGTTTAGTAGCATCAGCAGACCACTCACACCAAAAACGATTTAAAGCGATTATATTGGGCGTATTTTGAACATGATAACCGTTTAAAGCATTTGAGGTTTTTGGAATCGTGAGTCGTGGAAAATAACTGCACAGTAGTATATCTGATTTGAATGGGCGTACGATGACCACGCTGCGGGATGGGGAGGAGTATATTTGAGTGAAAGCAGAGCGTAAGAGCAACACGTTTTCAACGAATCAAATCACTGGTACTGAAGCATAGAAGGAGCAGTATTTGAACATAACTAATCGCTTATCATAAACACAGTTTAGGAAAACACCGAAAAACTGTGTGAAGCCTCCGTGCATCGGTTGCTTAGATGTTGGACTAAATGTATTTGGGCAAACCCAGAGGACACTAATTGCACCAATTTTGCGCACACTTTCACACGCGAAAGTAATACTGTCTATTAGAACATCATGTGCACCTGTTTACCCGACAGTGCCGACAGTGTACCCTCGCTTGTGTAACGTGGGCGACGTCATGTCGAACGCACAGCACGCACCACACACCCGCAAAAAGATGATGCACCGCTCACACCGTGACCGCTTACCAACACCGGGGCATGCACGTCGAGGCACACCTGTACAACTCGCGCATGGAAATCACGCCGGCCTTTTTCAGAGCAAGTTGACCGCAGATGCTGACTGGCTGCTTGGTGGCCTTCAGACGTATCGGCTTCTCAGACATCGTGTGTACAGACACGAACTAACGGCTCGATTTCCAAAGCGAAATGACTACGTGGAAGGAGAGTACGAGGCATACTGGAGTTACAGTATTGCCTTTGTTCAAGCGAACGGGGCTCGAAACTCTTGTCGGTGACACTGCTGGAAGCCGAATGCTACCGAAAGACGTACTTTCTCAGGTTTAGAATGGGCCAATGCTGGAGGATGGTATTTACGATCTACACACTAATTGAAGGAACACAACAACCACGTGCTTTTAAAATTTTGTCCGGGAGTCAAGCGATCACAACTGCACCGCAGTATACAACCTTATCACATGATTATTATAATTACCAGAAAGACACTTTACAAATTGGCATAGAAAACATAATGAACGTAATTGAAAATATCAGTGCAGTCAACAATGAACATTATGTACATTCGTTAGCGAAGAGGTCTGCCAATGAGTATTTACCATCTCCAGCTCTTGGATCGACACAGAACCAGGAATATCGAGTTATGTCGTGTAATTTCATTTGCTACCTAAGACCCGCTAAAACACCATCGGAAGTGCAGCGTGCCCAGGAATTTACCAGTAGTAGTAACGTCACTTTACGGATCTTGGATTGTATCATCCATAGTGCGGAATACCCAGCAGCGAATACTGCCGTGCCAGTTTCAACCATTTGTATGTCTCATTACACCGGCCTTCTCATACACGTAATCTTAAAACTGGATTTACACAATGAAACGGGAACACGTGGTGAATCGCGTGCAGTGACACTGAGCGAAAATGTTGGCGTTGCGGTTGCCGAAGTCATGCGTTCTCATGAGGCTTCGGAAGATAGGCCTACAGCCAGACTGTATTTTACGTTGGATTTGCCGTTGTTTGAACTGCGATCATCCGATTTCCTGGGCATGAAGTTGTGGTTACGTTACCTGTCCATCGACGGTGCCTACTTGCAATTCATAGATATTGATTTTTTGCACACATTAACACTTGATTATTTTGTACTAGACGGATGCAATCGTGTCGGTCATCGTCTTGAAGAAGCTCCCCGTCCTCTGACGCTGACTGGTTCACAACCGAGAGAGTGCGTTGTGATCTGGAACTACCTCTGCTCTAACGCTACATCGCTTTATTTATGGGCCGATATGAAAACACAGTGGAGTTATTGTGGCAACTTGCAAACAAGAACCCGTAACCAGTCAGCATCGACACACTTCCGTTCACGCACAGTGCGATCCGCCATTCGCAGGCAACATCGAAGCGGGGCTATGGAGCGTAAGTTCATATATCCGGATACCTTCCTTCAACTGCAACGGCAGTGGCTCTTAACCTCACAGTTGTACATGGAGAAACTGACCAGGGAAAGTGAAAGATATGAGGTTGTGGTAAGAAGTAATGTGACATGGTATCAATCGACCATAGTTGTGATCATACTGGTTCTCTCTTTCGTCACTCTTCCTCTGAGTTGTACCGTGCTGTTCATGTGGATTCTACTGTCCAAGAGAACGTTCGGTAAGCTAAAGATGGTGTAAGAAAACGGTAAGGAATGCGGTCAATGTAGAAGTGACCCTAGTGTGTATATTGAAGAACCAATTTTACCCTGTCTGATGTACCAAATTTTATTCTACCTCATACCTGTGATTCAATGTATATTTAACCATCGGCCAGAGAGCTAAATTGATTAGGTGCATGTGTTTTTGTAACAAACACCAGTGATGTAACTTTGTGCGACGAATTTTTGGATTGCAGTTACACCTTTTTCTGCCTTATTTTTATTCAATTGGCCACCTGTTGGTTGCTTGAGTCAAAAAACCGGGATAAATGGAGTATATCTGGCCAGTTGGGAGGAAATGACACAGTAGCTTTTTGTTTACAAAGCTAGGTAGCTGTCACTTGGCAGAAGTATCGAACAGCAGACCGGTTTGTGTCTGTACAAGAGTCCGTGTCTTCCCCGTCTGTTTATTATTTCATATTGAGCCAAGAATCAGATTTATGGTTGCAAGGAACCGTCTAAACATATGAAACTACTGCAAACAGCTGGTTTCAACAACATATTGGGTCTGGTAGTGACTGATGCTCGTTTAGACTTTAATAAAAGTGGTCCACTCTGGAAACTTGACTAACTCGCATTGATGTACGGTCGTTTGGATTCCATACGGTTCTGTTCACCATATGAGAAATCCCGTCTATAGTTCAATGAAAGTATCTTTTGTCAAAGGCATTTCACTGACATCTACGGTAGCTCGATGAAAAGCAAACTTATGTCGAAGAAGAATGAGTGACAGGCAACATTTTCATGAAGAAACATACGTCCGTATTCCATCATCTGATCTACTTGTGCGTACAATTCGTTCCCAGCCAGGAGCGGCCAGTTGCAGCATGCAGGTGCATGATAAGTTCTTGACCTAGAACTGTGCTAGTGTACTTTAGTATTGCATTGCAGGCGTGATTCCAATCCTGTTTCGTTTTCTCAAGAGGATATACAGAGCCGGGAATTCGTACGGAATTCATTTGGTCTCCAATCAAGATTGCAGGCCATAGTTCGAGTACACAACAGTACAAACACTTACTGGAAATAACGCTTCTAATGCAGTGCAATGAGTATTCCCATTCGTAGCAGTATTGGGTTGGGTTATCATTAGAGCCCCGTTAATTTTTGCTTACGCAACCCACGCTATGGATGGCTCCACCTACTGTCTTATACGTATCCAGCTAAGGTAGTTTATAATCGCCAAAGGAATGAGAAGCAGGTCATACAGGAAGGTGGAATCTGATATAGTTGAAATCTACTCTAAACGAAACGGACTGTTGATAGAGTCGAACTGGGCATCAGTATGATGTGGATTACTGCACAGATTGCACTATGAGGGGTACGCATCGTGATTGGTCACCCGCTAGCAGTACGGCACCGAACGATCAAACTCAGCCGACCGAAATATATGGTCCTTAACTTTTCATTGGCCGGTCAGAATAAGGTACTTCATTTATGATTAATCACCGAACTTACCCATACCGTGACGTAAGCTGACTAACCGAGAAGTCATGGTCAAATTGCGGGAGCAGAGGACCTAACCAAACGTTGGAAGCCCTAGAGGGAATCTCGAAGCAGCCTGAAGATATTCTCACGTATTTATGGAATACGTATTGATTGCTAACGCTGAATTTACAAAAATATTTGAATACCTTTTCTGCTATTAGTGTGTACGGGCGTATAGATTTTAAGTGGTCTGTAAAGGTATTAGTGTGATCCTACATGCCGCGTCAGTGCACAGATCGATTCAGGTCAAATCAAGGACGCGCCTTCACGTGCCCGTGACGGCTGAATTTTCGGCCTTGACGCATATGCCATAGAGGTGACAAAAAAGCAATTCAAAGTGACAGAACAACAAAGAAAGTAAGAGCTCATTGGAAAACTTAACCTCGATGGCAGAAATAACTAACCAGTTCTTGTATAGTGGCTTTTGGTCAAACAGAAATCTGGTGAAATAGGGAATGACCGACGAACCATATATTTTTGTGCAGGTATATATTGCCCTGTATTTTTGTCTAGTCGAGGAGGTAGATATACAGTTGAAAAATGAAGTGTGAAGAGGGTGGCTAATATCAGTGTGTTTTAGCAACGAGATTAGTACATGGATTTACGTGCGTATATACAATTGTTTTTGCCAAATTTGTGAGTGATTGGTATATTCTGAGCACTGATATCTCCGTCATATCTGCAGTAATCGTTAACAACGTGCTTATAAGAAACGTAAGAAAAAATTGTTTTTCTTACGTTACTGATATTGTATATGACAGATAGTTATAGTTTGTACATGAATTCGACTATAAATTCTACATACCAACGTCGGATGTGGGTATAGAGCACATTGTATTAACTGCGCCTCTTCAAGGCGCGACAGAAGAACATATGATACTGAAACATCTCGGTTGTGGTATCCCGGAAGTGATTGGGTGGATGGCAACTAAGCAAGGAAGCTGTACTTATTACCTTGTTTGTAGCTGAGAACGCATTTTCATGACCGAAACATGCAATGGTTTGGTGAAACAGCTCTCTCTGAGACAACTATGATTGCAGTAGTGTTTACGGCTAAGAAAGAGGAAGAAAGGACGCACGATCGCCAGCGATGACTGAGCAGCAACAATTCTGGTATAATGATATGCGACAGTTAGCATTGGTCATTAACTCATAGGGATACAATAAACCAACGCGAGACGGTGAATACTTTTGATTTCTGTTGATAGCTAACACGCTGTTTGATTTATGCTTGATAGACTGTCTTTGGTATTCACTCAGTGCACGAGAAATCATTTTCATCCACTGCAGTAATGTGACCTAGTCTTCTTTCAAGATCGAAACGGCGGGTGCACAATGGTGTATTGCAAGTGAAAGGCCTGCTTAGCAAACCTCGCAGTACGGTCAGGACTAGAACTCCAAAAATCAAAAATATGGACAGCGTTACAAATAAGGGTATGTAGCAGGGTGTCTATCGATTGCGCACCATTTGTAATGCCATGTCGTCTCACGATGTCTATGGGTTGCATTTCATAACGTATTCAGTTTAGTGACATGTCAAGACGTTTTTTGAACACAAGTAATAGGGAACATAGATAGCTTAATTCGAAAGTCACCCCAGATCTAGTACACACAGAGAAAGAAAACATTCCGGTTACATTACAGCCAACTCTAAGAGGAGGCTAGCTTGACCTGGTTCTCATTCATGTTCATGTTGTCTGTTGTACAAGTTAGCGGTAAATGAGTTTGGGGTTGCTCAGGATCGAGTAGATCACAGTGAATGCGTCGAAACTAATCGTCACATAAATTTATGATCCGAAATACAGCTTGATATAGAAGGTAGAACACTCCACTAATTAGCTTGTTTGCTCTTCGTTGTGGAACAATGAAAATACCTTTTATGCCCGTGATGGGGAACTGATGGTTATTGCAGTTTTGAATTATGCAAGGGTGTTTGAACTTCGCCTCACAATCAAATTTCTATTCAACAGTTCTGCAATAAGTAAGAATAGCGAAATCTTTCAAACGACCTACAATTCACGGGCATCCCGGAGTTAAGGTACTTACGAAGAAGTGACCTCAGGTTAGACTGTCTAAGAAACAATGTAGCTCCGAGGAGATAGACGATTGTCATCCATGCAGCCGGGTAACGCGTTAGTATGAGATGATTTTGCAACGACATGTTATCACCAGCATTTCCAGCTGCGGTCATAACTACCTAACAAATACAATCAAGACAAAAAGTAAGTAGGTGTAAGGAACACTTTTGGCAGCATTTTCGTCAGAATAAGAAAGTCAGATCGTATGAGTTACAAGCTAAATGTGCCAATTTAGACTACTTATTGGTTAGGATATTAAAGGCAACTGCCGAATCGATAAATCACATCACTGAAGGTAGTAGATTAGGTAAAAGGGAAGGATACCTAGGTACGTATCTTTCACAGTCAAAGCTTAATTGGTGTGCCATCAACTGGACCGGTGGTATGCCACAGTAAAAGATACCAATGAGAAGATCAATTTCTCAACTGGCCTGCATAAACTATGCTACAACAAGCTTTCTCTGGCAAAATTTTCAAGGGATACTGCCTTCGTTTACTCTGTAAATACCATGGTGCACGATATATGGATTGTGCTGGAAGTCTTCCAAATCACATACATCGCGGGTGCGTCCAAAAGTAGTCTTACAAAAGTGAAGCGAGCTCTTCTAGTGGATGCATCATGTCGAGCTGCAGGAAGTATGGATACGTAGGTTTCGAAAACTAGTTCAGAGTCACTTACTCCATTCCTAAGCTTTCTTTGGAGAGCTTTCGGAAATATCTCGAGCCAGACGCTACAGCTGCGGTCGCGTACCTAATTGATTGACATCTTAATAAACCTTACATTGGCTGTGAAAGTAATGTACCTATGGATTCGTCCCTTCTACTTAATCTACTACATTAGGTAGTTGTGATTTATCAATCCTGTGGTTGCATTTAACATGCTACTCGTTATCCAGCCCAACTTGCCACATTCAGCATGTCTGCATTTGACCCATATGCTGCATGAAATTTATCTATTTCCTGATTACAACTCCCATTTATGTGTACTATTAGATGGACACGTTGGAATTGATGAAAATAGGCAAACTAAGACGACAGTGGTCATGCAGTGGAGAATTGAGAGCGATTGATGCCTGTTTAATTCAGACGTAATTTTGATGCTCGAATTGACAGTGCTTCACTTCAGATTACTTCATAATTTAACTTGAAATTGACAATCACAATCCACACTCAGCGAGTATCCCGGCAACCAAAACAACAGGATAAAGGGCTTCAGTTTTCACTTGCAGCGATATTCTCCGAGTTCGTCAATTTGTTTTCAAGCCTGTTAGTACCAGTCGAGGTGAAATCGTCGCTGCGTAAAAGTAAACAGTTTCGTAGCTGATTGGAGCCAACTCATCGACTGGTGATGGGATATTTGCAAGCAAATCTTTCAGCTCGGAGGAAGTAGCAGAAACTGCACACTCAACTTTAGCCACTGGTATTTCGGATTTGTGCACATTGGAATAAACTATCATGGAAAGTGCAGGTGGTATGCCGTATGCGGAAATGAAAAAAGTGATGAAATAAATCGATGAAAAATGGAAAAATGGTATAATAAGCCAAGGCTTGGTAG